GAAACAAGTCTAGCTCGGGAGTGTGCTTGCAGAGACCCACTGGAATCTGCTCGAGGTCTGTCGCACGCAGCCTTTGTAGATTTGCATAACTCACGTGTTTTATGACCGTATTACGTTACACACCTGCGACCACGGCTAGCCGCAGGTGGGAGTTGGCGCGTTCGCACCGAATTAACCAGTGGCTGCTTGGCTTGAGGTGGGCGGTAGCCAAACCATTGAGCACCCGATGGTGCCTTCCCACTGTCAGTGACAAGGCGTGGCGCTCGTGCTCCTCGCCAAACTATAAGCTTCTAACCTGTAAACGTGTCTCCCATGGCTAGGTTTTAAGGAAAGAGGGTCATTGACCTCTCTGAAGAGGATTGGATTGTGAGACTGAGTTACTCTGACCCCTAACCATTGACCTGTCTTGTATGAGTGGTACTGAAGGCACTTGAAAGGGGCCACCCAGCATAGCTTAATGGGTCACGGGGGTACGCAAACCATCGCATCATACTACGGTCCAGTCTCGTTGCGAGGGGTCCCAGGAAACCAGGTGTCAATTGCGACAATCAGAGAAAACACGAGTGCTCTGGTTCACAATAAGGAGCGCCATATAGCTCGTTGGGTGGAGCACTTTCGGGAACAGTTCCGTTGGCCCCTTGCTTCTGGACCCCTTCCTACTCAGATGATGCAGGCTGTGCCATGGACGATTTGTTTAAAGTTTCCATCAGTGGCTGAGGTTTGAAACGCGATTACAGCGCTTAACTGGTTTCGGGCTACTGGCTCAGATTCCCTCAAACTCGCAGTATTTAAGACCGGGCGTAAGGTCCTCTGCAAAGCACTGACGTCACTGTTCGAACAGGTCTGGAAGGAAGCATCCATCCCAGCCAATTAACACGATTATCGTGGTAATTTTATAAGAAGGGCAATCACACAGTCTGTGCTAACCACTTGGGTATTGCCGTAACGCCAGTGGTGGCAAAATTACTAGCCTCGAATCTCGTTCGTCATCTCACTGCGAAACGGGTATCCCGGATTAGGGAAGGCAGGCAGGTTCCCTTCCAGGACGAGGCGGTATAGACCATATATTCACTGCGGCAGAGCTAAAGCAGCACCACACATACCGCAGACCGAAAATAGCTTTGATCCTCGACCTCACGTATGTGTTCGACACTGTCCATCAATCCATTATGTTCGAAACACTTGCTCGGAATGGTGTTTTCATGAAGTCTGAACCATTTACCTATACTCGGAAATTACAGGTCACGTCAGCGTCCGGTGACCATAGGTAAATAAATAACTAAATAATTTTTTCTTCTCGGCCACACGATGCATGCCATTAAAGGCATGATCATAGTAACAGTACAACAATTGATCAAGAAATGTGCAATAGTATAATAGGATTTTTATATATGTGGCTCCATAAATGTAGTTATGTAGGTAGGTGTATTGCTTCTGTTTGTAAATGTGTTTCTGTTCTTTTGAATGAGTTCGATCGCATCCTCGATGTCTGAAGAAATGTTTGTCGTCTATGGATTTGATAAGCTTGTCAGCGTAAGCTTGGGCGGTGACTTTATTTAGTGATGAGTCACGTCCGCCATGTCACACTGTTGTTAAGCAAACATTTGTAACTTTTTATAGTGAGAACGCTTGCCAGGCGAAAACCCACCACGTCCTGGAACACTGCCGCCGAACTATTTGCTGGAACGGGTTAAACCCGAACCACCCAGCTGGCACTACGGGGATGTTGTTCGACTAACCAGCCCAATTTCCCTATTTTCGCTGAACTTCCTCGAGGAATGCACCATGTAATGTTCCCCTGCGGAATCTCACGATGCATGCCTTGAAATGCTACCTGGTGAATGGCTTGATTATGCGGATGATCTTGTCTTGCTGTTTGATGATGTAGCGGCGGCCCAGCCAACCCTGAATCACCACTTGCATGGTCCCACTATTTGGTATGCGCTTCGCATTTTCAAATTGCAGTGTTGCTGCTGTACCACTAGCCAATTGCTGCTCCATTGATAACGAGGAACTCTAGCTAGCTACTCAGTTCACTTACCTTGGCAGCTGCTTCAGCAACAGTGGACGCATTCTCACTGAAGTCAGTTCACGTATTGCAATAGCTAGGACTGCCTGCTTGCATCTCTGACATCTTTGGCGTCAGAAACGGGTTTCCCTCAGTCTAAATAACCGTGTTTACAAAACCACAGTGAGCGCCATCCTGCTCTATGGGAGTGAGACTTGGCCTTTTCGGTTTGAGGATGTTAGGCGCCTTCAAGTCTTTGATCATCGTTACCTGCGAAGTACAGTTGGTGTCAGGTGACACTAGGGTGTCCGCGACGATGATGCGCGTTGGCGAGTGCTAGACAGTGATAAGTTGCGTTGGCTTGGGCACGTACTACATATGCCCGGTCACCGCTTACCGAGGAGGGCGTTGTTTTGTTTACCAGGTGTAGGCTAACGCAAGGCCTAATTTGGGCAAAAGTCAACTTTGCAGCTAAAATGAAGTCACTCTATGCTGTTGATCCGTCACACCTTCCAGGCCGGAATCCAAGGGACCCACCTTGTGTTTGGCTCGTGACGTTACAGGACGGCTCGCAATCGACACCAGTGGCGTGTATGCTGTCGTCTCTTAGTCGAACTGCCTTTTTAAAGGGTATTTGGTGCCGAGTTATCTACGCGGTAATGGATGACTCGTTCGGGATAATGAAAGCCGCAATTAAGCTGTCTTGCCGATGTCACCTTATCTTTACACGATAGCCGGCTGTTTGTGATGGTATGTTGTTGACAATGTGTAGGCACTTTGACCCTGCATGTTTTCTTAGGACATTACTTTTTTACACTAGGTCCCCTTTCTTTCCCTCTTGTTCTTCCTCATTCCGTAGGTTACTGTGGTTGTACGGCAGCGAAGCATCCATTCAACTGATTGGTGAAATGCTTTTGTTAGTGATGATAAGGTAGAGGCCCAATCTTCTCCACGATTTCAGCATCGGATTGCTAGAATGGAATGTTCCACCAGGGTGGAGCAAGGTGTGGTGACTTTATTTAGTGGCGAATATCATCCGCCACGTCCTAGTGCTGTTAAACAGACATTTGTGACATTTTATAGGGAGAACGCTTGTCAGACGTTAACCAACTACGTCCTACAGCACCGTCGCCGAATCATTGGCTGGAACGGAGTAAATTGGAACCACCCAGGAGAACGACTTCTGGACTTAGAGTATGCTGGTGATATTGCCCTGATCTGTGACAGCTCACAAACGTGCCAAGCGGCATTGGACAGATTAGCACTAGCTGTCCGTCACTTCGGGCTTTGCTTCGCACCCTCGAAGTGCAAAGCGTTTCTCCAAGATTGGTCTGGACCGCCTCCTACGCTGACCGTTGGTGGGGATCAGCTAGAAGTCGTTCAAAAATTCAACTACCTGGGAAGTTGTATCAACGCCCATGGGATTGAAGATGAAATCATGAATCGTATAGCAAAACCTCGGGGCGCTTTTGCTAACCTTCGCCACTTGTGGCGCTGGCGCGACATCACTCTTGCCTTGAAGGGTAGAGTGCACAATGCAGCAGTACGTTCGACCCTACTGTACGGTTGTGAAACCTGGCCGCTTAAAGCAGCGGACCTGAAGAGGCTAGTTACGTTCGACCACCGGTGCCTTCGTAATTTAGCCCACATTTGGTGGGAACACCGTGTCAGCAACGAGCGTGTTCGACGCCTTGTTTATGGCACAGGAAAAGGAACTGAACCGCTCAGCACCGTTATTTCGCACATCAGGCTCCGATGGCTCGGCCACGTGTTACGCATGCCAGCCCACCGACTTCCGCGACGTGTGTTGTTTGCACGTCGGGGGTGTGGATGGAAGAAGAGGAGGGGTGGCCAAGCGATGACTTGTTCGAGAGGAATGAAGGCCCTCACTTCTGAGCTGGCCTCGGTTGGAGCGTCTCGGCTCCCTGGTTGGGGTCCGAAAGACGATGAACACGTTTGGTTGGACATACTTGCTGATATGGCTAGGAGCCGACCTCAGTGGCGTTCGTGCTGTGAGTTTCTTTGTCCCACCCCATCCCTCTTAGCCTCCCCCTCCAATCACGATCTCATTATTTAACCTTATATGATTTTGCATAATAAATTTTTTTTTTGGTGCACAACAGCCGGCTGGTAGCTTACCGGAACGATGCCCATCCGTTACTGGTAGCTCAGCCAGCTTTCACCAGTTGCATTTTTTCTCCTTTTTTCTTTGTATTGCGGCACAGTAGCTGAGGTGTTCCCCACCTCTAGCTAACATGTATGATGATGATGATGATGATGACCCAGCTGGCACCACCTGGAGGTTGTTTGGCCAGTAAACCTAAAGTTTGTATGTTTGCAGTGCGTTCCAACTGTTAAAACCTTAGGCGACCACGTAGGATGTACGTGGGCAGAAACAGTTGTTGGAACTCATTGGCGCCTCCAATTGTCATTTATCTGTTGAATCCAATGGGATCGCTAGGTGGTGTCGAATGCTTCCGGCGTTTGGCTCGTAATCAACGTCAGTGTATCACGAAGCACGATTCTCGTGCAACTATGCTTAATCTGACTTAGATGGGCACTCATGATTGTTTATGGATACTTGTTTCTACCACATGTTTCCTTTCGCATAATGTGCGGTGCTTTCTCTCAACTGTTCTTGTGTCCTAATAGAGTCACGGCCTTCGAGACGACACCCTCGGACGCAATTTTCACCAGGCTACCTCGAATTGTAAGCGCTGGATTCTCAATTGGTAAAGCTGTTATGCCTCCACCACCTAGCTCATACAACCACTTCAGGTCCACGTTCATTCGGTTATCTGGTTTACAGTCGTTTGTGATCCCGAAAGCCGCATATCTACTTTTATAGACTCATGCAGCGACAATTAATTGCAAACGATTGTTCACTTAAAGCTTCATGTTTTGTTTCTCTTTCTGAATTCGACGTAATAAATGGGCATTCTGCATGAGTTAAAACAACTGAATTCGTTGTTTCTCTCCTTTAATTTCTTAGGAGGTTTCTCCTCCCGCCCCGGTTCCAGCACCTCCGATAACCGCCCCAAAGGCACGCCCATCCAACACAGAACCTTTAAAGGCACTGAAGATTGAAATAGCGCCTACTTTTAAAGTCCCGCCGGTCGAGACTGTGGAAAATGAGATCTCGTCCTCAGAGAAAAACGGTTGGACAAATGTTCATATTTGCTTTGCTCTTCATTTCTTTAAAACCCATGTATACTTAATAGATGTGTCTAGGGGACACCAATCTTACTCTGCCATCAAGCTAGCTTGTTTTACTACGAGCTTTTTTCGTATGTTTGCACTTCGTTCCGTTGTTGTTTTAGCTTGTACAACACCTAAATGCCATCTTAGCTTTCCAGACTTTCATCTTTTTCTTTGAGCTAACATGGGGTGCATATCGCTCTTGTTATCATAATGTTTTGTAGTTGGTTAGTGTCTTTACACATTGGTTTTGTGGTTATTTTGCGATTTTACGGGTTTTTCTGGTAACTTTTATCCAGCTTATGTCACTACATCGACCCGCTTCGTTGACTTCGCTGCTCTCTTCTTCGCGGGTTGCGCCACTCATATTTTTGTGCACGCTGGCCACTTTTTTATTCGTTTGAATGCTTTTCCAAAATGAGTCGTCACATTAGCTATGCCGTTGGCGGTAATTGGGGCCATTCACTTCCAGCTAGTCATCGCAATCGAGAACCGCCACGAGACAGGCCCACATGGGGATCGTGAGCGGCTTGTTGCGCACCAACTATGGTTTCATTGATCTGCCCCATACCCTGTGTAAATCTGGTAGAATATAACGGAAAAGCATGCATTTGTGAGCCCCTACTGTTACAGAGCTCCACTACACTCCCTCGGTATCTGTAGTGCTGAGGTAAAGATAGGAGAAATGTACTCATGATGCTACTTGTACCTTAATCTGTTTTGTGACAGGGCACTACTTTGAGGAAGACTGTGCACCCTGTCCCCTCAGCATCAATAAACATTAGACTGCTATGAGGATTCTGACCAAACTTCCCATCGGGAGATGCCTTTGTTCATTACTTTACAGCCTCTGCGATTCCATTCAACAAACCACACTCGCACTCCTTTTCACTCGTTTTACAGTCTAAACCACAGTGTTTCACTTTGAATTGCGCCAGAGCTCACTTTAAGATTGACCATTCTCAAAAGTCTCCGCCGCCAAATCTCTCTGGTGTCTTGTTGATGTATGTTGCCACTATGGACATCTGAAGAGCGCCTGTGCCTACAAAAGGACCATGAACAGTATTCGCTGCTCAACCCACACACTCCATATCCAGTGGAAACCTGGATGCATAAGATCTGAGAGTATGTGAATGAGCGTCACGAATACTCCGGAGGCGGTCCACCCTCCTTCGACATACCTACCGGTGGCCGGAGGGATTACGCGCTTGCGTTGTGATCCGGAGTTCACCGGTTCAAATCTGCATGGGTACAGGCGACCTCGCGCAACTGTTGGCGGTCACGTTGCTACGGTGTGCGGACCTACTGCGGATGCCTACTTGCATTCGACATGCGCGTGACTCAACACAAGTCAAGCTAACCTTTACGCACCCGGATAAGCGCATTCTCAGCATTTTACACTGTCAACCACAAATGTGATAAAACAGCATCAGTAAATATGAGAATTTTACAAGTGTAAAAAAATGAAAAAAGAGTGCACAGATGTCACCTGAGTAAACGGTCTCGCGTCTTTGAGCAACGACCGCACAGTGATGGAAAGAATTAAAAGGTTCTTTATCCGGTTGACAACGTGAACATTTGGTAAAACATTTCTTGACAACTCGTTTCATTTGGATGAAAGTAACGGACGGCGAGTTATGTGCGATCTCTCTGATAACTTTCCCAAGAATCGTTGGACTTGGGCAGCCTCAGTGACCTTGCAATTGTTCACCGAAGCAATTCGTCGAAATTTTCATGCAAAATCGATACGTTCGCAGTAGTTAGTGTAAAAATCGATGTTTTGTGGAGAGCGGCAACGGTTAACTCAAGGGCACAGGTGCAGTTGGCTCTTGGCCTGTTCCGTGGTAGAACTATACTTCTGGCACTGTCATGAATACTGTGCGCACTGTCTCACCTCCATACCTCTTGGAGCCAACTATCGGAATGACAGCAACTTATGTATGTTCTTCCATCATCATTCCATATGTCAGGTGGAGGCAACAAATTGCTAAACCCCTTCCTCGAAATCCAACGCAACCAGACGGTCGTAACACTCGCATCGAACGCAGTCAAAAATGGCAATCCATCCGGGGACGAACGCCAAGCGCGCATCAATCGCTCAAGTTCAGCACCTAATCAAAACGACAAGACGTCAGCATCAGTCTCGGCAGCCGTACAATGACAATGCGAGACCGTCATGAGCAACTAGCGCTTACAGTCGCATGGGCTGAATTGCATACCTTATCGGTTTTTTTATGGAAGCTACGGGGAACGCAAGTAAAAGCAAAATGAACTTACCGGCCAGATATGCTACTGATCTACATAACTCGATTGGCCAAACAAAACTACTAGTTAGGTACGCAGATCGTAACATACGGACGCAAAAGGTATCTCAGTTGACAGCCGTCATATTTTCCAGCAGTGAACGATACCCGACGTTTTTCTACATGTTTACACATGACGCCGCTTGTCGTACATAGGTTTGATCCAACTCCATACATTGTGGTATGGAGTTGAAGGTACTGGAGAGACTACTGATCCCCAACATTTTCGCAAACAATCATATTGATGGTGTCAAACAGTTTGCTTATAAACAAGGGCGCTCCACATTAGATACCGTCTCGTATCTGATGCGTTCGATAATAGATTCAAGGGCGTACGACTCCTATTTCTCGATTATGCCAACACATTTAGTAGCCCCAGCGGATTATTAGTGCTCAGTATTTTGTCCGAAACTGCTTGTTACCGGAGCCCGTCCATAGCAGCCATCGAACCTAACTCTCTCTGTCTGGAGCAGCCCGAAGATTGGTTGTATGCCGTCTGTAGTCGATTGGCTAGCCAATGAGAGTAAGCCGATTGCATCGGTTTTACCTTGAAGTGGATGAATCAGAATGACCTACGTTGAAACACTTCAGTAAGCACACTACTTGCTCAGCCAACAAGCGAGTTTTGCGCATCTAGTAGTTACTATAGTCAAGAACTTTTAATTAGATCTTTTCTCTCCTGAACTATTTGTTTCGACCCAATATTTTGGTTGTACATTCTGTCTTCTGGGTACTCCATACAAGTTTCGCCAGAGGCGTTTGTCTTCTTATTTGGGAAGTGACTGCATCGGTTATCCGTACTGTCAGCGGAAACACAATACTGATGTCCCCCCGTATGTGTTTAGTGTGATGCGTGCTATCTTCACAAATGGCACACACTTCACGCAGCCATGCGGCAGAAAGTCTTATGCACTCCAGACCAATTGTGGTGTTTTGCAGGAAGCGATCCAATCCCCCTTTCTATTTCCTGCCTACGTCGAAAGTTTTCCCATTCTGTCAAACTTCATAGGCTGTAACTTTGCTGATAACGTCTTCCTGGATTGCATACCCCCAATCATCGAGGACTCTTTAAAACTCCAACGAAGTTTAGATGAGCAAGTGGTTTGGTCGAGCTCCCTGTCCCTCTCAACCCTTCCAACTGTTGTTAAGTTACGTTCTGTTTCCTACATCCAATCAGACTGCGGTTTCTTGTACTTATCCTTCCTCCCATGGTTGTGGATGAGCAAATCACACCTGGTTCCCGCGTTTTCTTATCTCAAAATTTATCTTGATCTACACATATTCTTGAAACTTATAAAAAGTTAGAAAGGTTTCTTTTTAGACCCTCAAGTTCAAAATTTTTTCCGTTCCCCGTTCTAAGGTTTTTTACTGTGTATATTCTCCCTCACTAGTTATACTGTTTTCCCGAACTTCTTCAGAAAGTATATGCTTACTGTCCGGTCTATAACATTTCTTACTCGTTCTGGATTAAGGAAAGAACCGCTTATTGATTCTGCCGTTAACAAACATTTGATGCGTGGATCAACTTTTCATCCGGAATTTTTTAACGACCCCTCTCACCCTTTACATGCTATCCTAGCCAGCACCATATCTTCTCTTCCACACGGTTTCATATGCTCATACCCCTTTGTATCGAAACTCCATTCTGCCTTATCTATCACGATTACTAGTCGACTCATCAGGACTGAAACACCGCTTTTGTGAAGGTATACTAGATTGAAAACGCAAATTTTTCATTATATATTGCTGTCGTTTTTTTACCTTCTCATTAACGTCATGTTTTCTAATAATAATAACGATATAATAATAGTAATAATCATAATAAATGCGTATCTGCATCCATATTTGGCACAGATCAAATATGTACAGGTAGTACCATGCTCTTGCATGGGCAATATGAAGTTGTGATGAATAAAAAGCAAAGGTAAATCTCTCGTCAGTGCGAGGTACGGTCCAACTGGTTATTACGATTTTTGGTGTACGGCAAAATCGCAAGGAGCAGATGTTATATTTTTCATAGCAGTCCTCAGGCTTTCTGGCGGACATGGCTACTTGGTCGGTTAAATATTTCGGGAGGATTGTGAGGTTTTAAAAGATAACAAGTGTAGATAAATAAAACGTATAAGTGAAGTAATACGGCCATTACTGGGACCGCCTCCTGGGGACCTGTTCCATGCGGGTTATTCTCTCGATGGATTTCACTCGCACTTCCATGCCCCATCTGGCCGTGTGCCGGTGTGGCTTTTAAAGCAGTTAAGTCATCACTTTAGGGCTGTTTTTTGTGTATATAGTGTGGACAGTTAAGCCGCCTAACCCGTACCATCAGCTGGTTTTTTTGAGTAGAGCACTTTTTTATCGCCAGGGAACCAATGGCAATGCGCCTTGCATGGGTATTATTATTAGCGTTGGAAGCTTAAAGTCCGTCACCTCAGGAGATCGACTTAGTCGTGGTCAACAGTGAAGTAAAGAAGAATATCAAATATGTACGCAAGAAAGATCGGCCAGATTGTACATTGGAAGTGTCACAAACGGGACTGCTCGAAGTATCAATATGCTGCACAGTTTTGAAAATAATTTTCAGATTCGTCATTATTTGCTTGCGTTCAAAAATTATAGGAATTGATAACGGTGAGCAATGAGACTTGTTCTCTGATCCTGGACTGTCGCCTCCGTGACAGAAAACGTACTATGTAACATTACGGTAAGAGTGTAAAAATATAGACATAAATAAAAATTAAATACTTAGTTTATGTCTCGATAGTGCGGGACACGGACTGTAGGGTTAATCCGATCACATTTGTTATTGAATCGTCAAGTGTTTGCGTTCAATCCGATCGGGGCAGTCGAGGTGTGTAGGGAGTGATATCGTCGGGTTTTGATAATCGCTCCGCAATTTGTTCATTGATTCCTCCGGACAGAAGAGGAAGTTAGTTGGAAGTGCGGAACAAGGTTGTTTTATAAATGAAAATGTGGTAGAGGTGGGTTGACTTCGAATCAGCGAATTTCGTCATTTGCTGTATGGCGCTCGGCGCTTCCTCATACACCGTGGCCATACTCACGTCTCTGTTTATCATACCCTTCACTTTATTCACTGTCACTTCCCTGTTAACTAGAGTACGAAAAACACTCTTTGGATCACACGTTCTCAGATTCTGCGGTAGTTTGTTCAACATCACTGCATAGCGGTTAAGAAAGCAATTTGATCTTAAGCTAGTTCGTGCCTTTTCGGTTTGTAACGTACTATCTCTATTCCTTATATTGTACTGGAGGAAAGGTTGAAGTACCACCTCAATGTCTGAGGTGAAGACGCGTTTGTGGATGATATCAAACATGTAGTTCAGGTTACGTTTTAGTCTCCTTAACCAGAGTGGTTCTATGTTTATCTCACAGCAACGGTCATAATAGGTAAGATCACCGGAGTTTCTCATTAAGCGCTTCGTAAAGTAGCATTGTACATTTTCTATTGATGTTCTACCACTTTTTCTCCAATTGGAGTATCTTAATGAGCAGTATTCGTGTAGGGGACGAATACGGGTTTTATACAGGTAGATTTTGGATTCAGTTCAAATAAAGCATTGTATTATTAGCCCTCCAATTTTACAGGCTTTTGCAACCGTGTACTGTACCTGTTCGTCGAAGTTGAAGGAACTCGAGTAGGGTATCCCAAGATCACGAATTGTGAGACAGATGGACAGGGCTTTGCCTTCTAGCATCAAAAAGTTTGATGTGATACTGAACCGATAACATATGCTGCTGCACTTCTCAGATGAGAGTTCTATTTTCCACTTGCTGCACCAAGTTTCTAGCTCCTGCAGATCCGCTTGTATGTCGGCTAGTGCGTTAGTGAAATTGTCCAAATCGAACTCATAGACAATTTTAATGTCATCTGCGAATACTCAAGGTTTGCTGTGTTTGATGACATCGAAGACGTCGTTAATGTACATCAAGAACAGAAGAGGCCCTAGAACGATTCCTTGGATCACGTCACTTGTGACTTTTCTAGTGGAAGTATTGCTTAGTATTTCAACTGCCTGATACCGACCGGAAAGGTACGATGCTATCCAAGAATATCAATTGCCGCAGCGTTAGTGTGAAATGCTGAAAATGGGCCCATATGAGTGGACAAAGCTTATTTTGACCTGACTTTTCCTCGCACTAGTCGGTAATCACCACCACCCTATACTACACCTAGCATGCTGGCCTGCCTATCAACCACCCTAAGCCACCCTAAACTTGCGAATTTGTTCGGTCCAACCCCATTTTCAATGTCACTTTGCCTACCTCCTAAGTCACTCCACTGTTTGCATTCTTCAAAATGAGCGGAATACTTGCTGAATTACTCCTCGCTGGTATCGGTTGCCTGTTTCCCACTAATCAATACACTGTGTCTCGGAACAAATCCCCCAAGGAATTCCCTTTCTTATACCTTTTTCAGGTGTGATCAGCGTAGGCACAAGCTGCAAGAACAGCGGTTGCAAAGCCGTGAGTGTTTATTTCTTTTCTGTCTTATCAACGTGGATTTTCCCACCGACTCCTATTGTCGTAATTAGACGATAACATCGAACCGGTCTTCTTTGTAATACATGGCTGATTTCCCCTTCTTTTGTTTCATATTTTGTTACTGCATAGATCCGAATTACATACTTGAGTGCGCTGTACTCATGCTTTTTCAACCAACTGCTGCTTTATCTATCGTCTTCTCGGCTTCGTTTATTTGTTTTCGAATCATCAAACCTTATCACGATTCCTTTGTTACTACACCATTGTCATGTGTGTTTCAAAAGTCATAAAGTGCACTGGTGTGGGTGAGTGTGTGATGTCGTTTACACTTGCCCTATTTTTCATCACTCGGAACTCCGTTTCCCTGCTCGAGCCTACTGAATCACAACTTCTGACATGGGGATTTGTGATGAAAGTGAAATGTTAGTGTGCCCCATTGACTTTCACTCTAAAGGGATAGGCGGATCCTGATGTCACGGACACCCACATGCGTCGAATCTCTCGGAGTTTGTACATTCCATCAACAGGCAGTGAGAAATGCGCGGCTTGCCAAGCTCTCGACGAAGTGTCCGGAGTTAGGACCAAATGTCGATACCATTGAGAGTCACATTGGATCCCGTGAGCTATACTCATCGTTCAAAGTCTCATGATCGATAGATCGTTTGCGCACGCTCAGCTTTCTGACACGAGCACTGGCGGTCAATAGACGTTCATAGAGGTGGCAGCCATATGGCACTACTGCAAATCAAAGGCCGACTATTGTAAGTGTACATGAGTGTGAGTGAAGCTTGTACGATCGTTTAATACGCTTTTGTTTTTGCAACCACCGTGTCCATGGTATCATATGTCTGTAGCCACCAAGGCTCTGCGCGGCCAAAATACACTCAGTCCAGGTGGCTGGATGTAAAGGTATGAGTTAATGAAAGGATTCGCACTGTTGCGGTCCAACCATTGTTACCGTGTGGATCAGAGATTTAGCTGCCGCACGCTGAGGATGTTAAGAGACTGACCGTGTTCGAACACTGGTACCTCTTAAGTGTCACTCGTACCTGGTGAGGGAACTGAGTAAGTAGAGCGGAAGTCCACCACTTGACTTTTAACAACATACCCTGTGTATTGAACTCGAACTGTCCATTCTGGCTACAAATCGCCTACCTCGGTGTGTATTGTTTCCCAATGGTGACCAGTCCGTGACATGACGAGGTGTCATGAATAGACTCATCCACATGCTATACCGGGTTGGTGCTTGTCTTCTTGGACAGGGTCCTCGGGTTCTGTCTCTTCAAGGGTACGATCTTCGAACTCTGACCGCACTAGGACGTTGACGCTTTTCTTTCTTCTTGTTAGACTACACCAAGTTGTCTTATTGGGGCTTGTATGTTCGCTTCGCAAGCATCTGTAGGTAGTTTTGCACATACTTTTCGGACGAAATAGTGAGGGTCAAATCTGGTAGACGAAAGGGGACATTTCTCTTGCCACCAATGGGAAATGAAGTTGAAGTTCTACAGCATGTGCGGCTTTATTTTCTTCTTGAACATCTGGTGAACCCACAATCCGACCTGCCAAAGTATTTTGGTACTGAGAAGCACTTGTGAGATTTTAGTTTTACTCGAAAGCAGATTCGTTATAGCCAGTTTACACTCCAACAGTCCCACGCACTTCAGGAAAAGCACAGTATAGTTGTTTCTTCCCATTGAGGCTCATCAATAGCGTGCATTCCACCAACTGCTCCTACAGTTAAATCCAACTGCCATGCAGCTTTTGCCAGTGTGCAGTGGGTGTCGGCAATAAACCAGCATGCTTCTACAGTCGTGTATCATAAAATTCAAAACTAAACGATCATTGTTATTAGTAGCTGCGATACAATGCGGCACACCTTTCACTACCATGTGCCGTGTAGACGTGCAGAGAACAATTTGTCCACAGTTACGATTTCCCTTTGTCAGCAACGATCATTCGAGTTGGCATTCTACGGGCACCCAGTGGCTATGACTAAGGCAATGTTAGATGTTGCATTTTCATCGACAGGCTTTCTTTCCAAACACCAATTACGGGATCTCGACATTTCTCATGCTATGTTCCCACCAAATGTGGGCAATACTCTTCATGCACCAATGATCAACGATGGCTAATCTGGTAATATCTTCAATGCGAAGTAGTTATGTAATATTCCTCCTGTACGGTTTTTCCAGCCTCTTCCATTTCCAAGTAGTACGACGGGCCCTTTAGGGCTGCAACCCAAAACAAATACGTAGACGGCTGAACGCTCAACCGCCTAGTAAGCGGCCGATGTAAGGGAAGCAGCTAAGGAGGCACGGAAGTGGGAAGGAAAAGTGCCAGAGTGGAATAGGCGGTTAAGGCTAACCGGAAGCAAAACTTATCGACCTGTTAACGTGTTACCGTGACGCCCGCGGAACGGCTACAATCGTGTCTCTTATCCGTGCAGTAACACAAGCCTTATCGGAGCGTTGTCAAGCTTAGTTTTTAGCTGCCAGGCTGATATCACACCGTCTCGATAATTTGTTTATGTATCGGTCTGTGGCCAAATAACTGAAACGTCCGCCTTGTAACCCAAGGGGCACCGGTTCCAATCTACATAGATGCGGACCACCTCGCAGTATTGCTAGTTCGCGCGCGACTGGTGGTGGTCATGTGGCAGATGAGTGTCGGTACAGCCTATTGGCGCACTGCTAAAGCCCTTTTCCATAGATTATTTAAACTTTGAAAAGCCATAAAAGCGTTTTTGATACAACTAACGTCATCACGATGGGATTCTACACGGCTTTGACTGCTTTTTTCACTCTGCAATGAAGGAGATTTCAACGCACATTCACTTCATCTGCCTCGTTCATCAGTGACATCTGACGTTGTTCATAATAGTATTCTTTCTCCATGTATTGTGAATGCATTCGATGGGAAGGCACTTTCGAAGTATAACACTTAGCGGAAACAGGAAGAGTGCACCTTAAGTAGTCACTAGGGGGACCGTGGCCATAATCAGGGTAGCGGCTTCAGCTTGACTTACGCTACCTGCGGCCGACGAGAATGAGACCAACTTGGGTCCAGAATATCCCGTTGATCGGTAACGGCTATGTACTTCGATACAAATGCATTCTATGGAAGGCTGTGCTGTTAGAGACTGTGCTCGAGATATGACTAAAGGAGTGATCGCTGTTCTCGATGCAGCGGTCATCGACACTGAACCAGACTCGGAGGCGACGTTCCGATTCCGTCAGGCGGCCAACCTGAAAATTCATGTAAACCCCAATGCTCATTATATACTTACTTCTGTTCATTCGGATTATGGATAGGTTAGCTCATGGAATTCATCTTTAATGGTTACAGCCAGTCGAAGCATAGATCAAACATCAGAAAAGCACCTTGTCTTTAGCCGCTGTTTACTAACCTTAATGGAGCGTCGACGTCGCACACACAAATGCGGCTGTTTACCGGGACTCATTATGGAAAAGCTGCCTCGTGTCTGCTGCGATTGTCTCTGACACTTCACTATGGAGATTCGGCGTGATCGAAGACGCGAATTACGTAGCCCCATCGATTGAAGTTGGGCCCTGATAAGACTATGTACATAAGGACACTATTGTCCTGTGCACATCTTTCGGTGACAGCACACATCAACTCCGAGGATATGTCGCTTATTGACTGATCTGGCGTAGTTTGTGGACGTTTAAAGACTGTTGAATGACACCCTGGATTTGAATAATAATCCGGCTTCTATGTGTCTGGCTGATGAGACCAACAATGTTCCCTCGCTGGTTTATACGAGAATTGGATTCTTGAAAAGTAAGGGAAACTAATACCATCTGTAACTGACCAATCACAGTCCGTTGGGTCCCACCTACGCATGCCCCAAATCCCTACCTAATCGCTGCCCGGACTCCCATCAGCTGGCATCCTTACGGCTTGATTGATTGGAGCACTGATCGTTTTGCTTAAAATTGCATCTGACGGAATTCTTTTGGTCTGCTGTGTAACCGGTTAAACTTTAGTTAATTGTGCCGGCATTTGATCTTGTTTGGACCCAGTTTTACTTGGAGAACAGAACTCTTGTACGCTTGTGTGGACATTGCCAAGGTCAGTATATAATTTGTTTCCCTAACCCTTCCTCAAAATAGCACCGCAGCGGATTTCCGGCTTTAACTTTTGAATTGACCCGGGAGTCTTACGTGTTGCTTGAATCCACCACCGATTTGATGATAACACCATCGATGGTTTACCTGTCACTACCCGCACAGTGTGGCCTGCTAAAATCTGCCCACATTCCATAAGTCACTGTTGTTGAAAACCGAGCGTTTCCCTCGTAAGTTTAGTTCAACCATCTCTGAAACTTTCCACACTTGACCAGGGCGATATGCGATTCCTTCAGCATTGTCCTCTGGCAACCTTGCACTCACATGCCGCCCCGCAGCCTTAAGGATCACAAGCCTACCTTGTACTCCGAGGGCGCGTGTTCGAGCCTGCGTAGGGACCGGGTGACCGTCGCAGTATCCTTAGCCCACGTGCGACTTGTGGTGGTTGCGCGGCAGGGAAGCATCGGTACTGCGTACCGGCACACTGCTGTTGCCTGCAATCTCACATGCGGTACTATACTTCAGTAAGAAAACGCGGTCGTGTTTTTTCACACAAATATGCACGTATATGCTTGTTACCACG